CGGAGGAGGCTTCAAAGTGCCCAATGTGGCAGAGTCAACCCCTCCCCTGGGGAGATTATTCCAATGGGTGACTGTTCTCATGGCGAAAAAATTCCCTCTCGTGTCCAGTCAGAATCTCCCCAGGAGCAACTCGTGTCCATTCCCCCTTGTCCTCTCCATGGGACTTCTTGTGGAAGGGGAGTCTCCATCTTCCTTGTACCCACCCCTTAGGTACTGGTGTGTGGTGATGAGATCCCCTCTGAGCCTCCTTTGCTCAAGGCTGAACAAACCCAGCTCCCTCAGCCCATCCTCATATGGCAGGCTGCCCAGTCCTTCCCAGTCCAGTATCATCCCAGGTATCACCTTGCTTTGGTGATGGAGCACTGGTGATGCCCAAAATGAGCCTCAGCAGCCAGACCAGCTCCCTCCTGCCTCCCAGCCAGCATCCCACCAGCCCCGAGCCACAGGTGACGTGGGGCTGGTCCCTGGGCCGCCCTCCCTCGCCTCCTGGCAAAGCCACCCCCATGCCGGGCTGCAGCTCAGTTGCTCAGAAAACCTTGAAAAGCCCTGTTTTGGGGTGTCCCTGCTCCTCGGGATGCAGCCCCACAACAGCACCCGAACTGCGTCTGAGAGCTACAGGCAGCAGCAAGGCCCCACAGGGCAGGGAGCAGAGGGGCAGCTCTGTCCTGGGAGAGCCCGAATGCGCCGTGTTTCCAGCCCCAAGTCTTTGCTTTGTTGATTAGAAAACTTTGCGGTACGTTGCCAGGTTGGACAGGCTGCAAATGCCTCTGGGCAAAAACCAAACGCTTGATTTTAGCCATGTTTTTTGTTCTGAAAAGAACTGAAATATAAAAATCAATGGAATGAAGACAGAGATGCTTTGTCTCAGGAGGTCTCCTGCCTCGAACCCATGTGCAATTCACCTTTTACTTTCAGTTCAGAACAAAGAAATGCATTTCAGAAGGAGCAGATGGCGGAAGGGTGGGAGAACCACTTCTGTAAACCAAGTTACATATTTCACACTAAAGAAAACAAACCCCAGATCATTCCAATCGGGGATTTAAATATCGGGGACCTTACAGCATCCGAAAAAGAAAGAGATGTGCAGGAAGGGTAGCATCACATCCACAAAAACCCCCAAATTACAGCCAGCTCGAGATAACTCTTGGGAGAGATGCAGGCGGCACGAGAACAAAGCCAGCAGCTGCGTCCTCTCCACCAGCACTGCTCGGGCAATGGCAAAGCAAAACTTCTCCCCAGAGGAAGAAAGATGAACCCACCCAAAACACAAAAGCCCTGTTTTCTTCCTTTTCGATGCTGCAGGTTTGTTGGTTCAGAGGAAAAACGAAGGAGCGGTTTTTCAGTCCATCACCTCACCTGGGAAGGGGATGGGGTCTTGAAATGCTCCTGATTTGCCAAGAATGGGGCAAAGCACACGGAAGGAGAAGCCCCCGTCACACAACAAGCTCACCGACGGTCTCTACTATAATTAACCACATTTCCGAACAGCCCTCCCCACGGTGGCTGCTCCGCTTCCTTCCCCTCTGCTCCATTTGCCGCAACGTCAGCTTGAAAGCCCTCGTTCAGCAGCTCTGTCTCGATTCACAGAGCTGCCGGCTCTCCAGCGCTCCAAGCAAACATATTATGGAGAGGAAATTTAAATGGCTTTTGAAAGGAGATTAAATTGCCCCCTGATGCCTCACCACAGGCTGCTTTGCTTGGGATAAATCTCCTGAAGAAATGTTCCATGCAGCTGAGCTCAGAGTGCAAAGCATCCCCCTGCCTGGTATCATCCCCGATATCCAGAGAGAGGAGCTGACAGCTAGCGGCCGATGCCAGGCTGAGCCCCTTCTTTCCAACCCATAGTCCTGTTGAACAGTTTACAGAGGCAGCAGTGCTGGGAAACCAGATCTGCTTGCCCCAGGGAGGGGATGGAGTAATTACATCCCCTGAGCCGGCATCGGGGGCTGCTGTGCAGGCAGAACATATTGCTCTGAGCTTTGGACTCAGCTTTAGCAGCTCCCAGAATGATTTGATTGATAGGGAAGGTATAAATTTCCTCTCTCCAGGCACCAGCAGCTGCTAGTATTTCACATCCTGAGTTTATTTCTGTACCCATCACGCCTTTATCTGATATTGATGCTGCTGCAGAAATGCTAACGGACGGCACTGGGCTGTACAGCTTGTCTGGAAATAGCTCAAGGAAGAGACAAACTCATCGTTCTCACTCAGAGAGTGTCAGGCACTGCTTTAAGAAGAGACAAAGCACAATCAATTCAGCATCCAAGCCCCTGTAAGGAAGGGCCCCCAAAATGGCTCCAGGGCCACGGATCACACTTGCTGGGCTACTTCCACTCCAGTCAGCACCACAGTAGAGCCCCATCACCCCCAGTTGTTTTCTACAACCCTCCCAAGCTTGCCGGACTTCATGGGTTTTGGGGAAATGGATTCCTTACGATAGCACCCAGTCCCCGCAGCTCACCAGGCTGACGAAGAACCGGCAGCCTGGAAAGGGCTGGTTTGCTCCGAAAAAAGGGCTGTGGTTTTGGCGTGGGCAGCATTTCATCTGGGTGTATGAGGCACAGGGTTATTTGTCTGCAAGAATTAAACGCACATCCCACTTACCCGCTGTGGCAGCCCATGCGAGGGAGGGTTCCTCCAGACTGACCCCCGCCAGCAAACCCTCCCCTCCACCCCCGCGCAGGAAGCCGTCGCCCCAGGGAGCGAACCCAGCAGCACCCGGCAGCGCTGCACATTGCCCCCACAGCGCCTCCTTCGCTAAAAGGCTGCTCTTTGCAAGGAAAATAAAGGTGCTCTGGGTCCCTTGGGTGAAACACAGCCCTGCCGTGCTGTCGGTGCAAGTAGGGCCGCTCTCCAGGCATCGCATCCCCGGGATACACGCTGGGGAAAGCAAGATCAGCAACAAGGTCTCTTCTTCTTCTAGCCCCTGGGTGAGACACTTGAATCCTCAAGGACTCAAGGAGTCCTGGTTCTCTCCTTGCTTGGCACTGGCTGGATTTGCAGAGGACACTTGTGTCCCCTCTGCTCCAGCTCGCCCTGGCACTTGTGCGAGCAAACTGGCAGGGCCATGGGCACTCCAGGGCGCTCCACAGCCAGCATAGGAGAAGGGACCAGTCCCAAATAGAGAGCCGACCCAATTCAAACAGTCCCTAACGTAACAGCCGCGGCGTCAGAGCCGTTTACCACAAAGCAATCAGCATGACAGCTCCGTGCCGCTGAGCACAATCTCCTCCTGCCTGGCTGGTTTGGCTTTCTGGTTGTGCTGGCTCTCTGGCAGCAGAGGGATGATTTCCAGGGGCAAATAAATTGCAGGGAAAAACACAGGGCTTTGAGTCAGCAGAGCTGAGCAGCAAGGACAGACACATCAAGGCTGCATCACAGGCCTGGGGAGAACAGTGCGATGGTTTCAGAGTCCCCCAGGACAGTGTTGGCAGCCGGTGACGTGCTCCTGCTGACCTACCACAGCTCCTGGCAGGACCACCCAGAGCTGTAATCCAAATGCTTTGCACAGCCAAGAGCCATGCCCGAACTAAACCCTCAGCACCAGCATCACAGCAGCACGCTCCGGGCTGGCCCTCAGCACCTGGGACACGCTCACTTACGGGCATGGGGATCTTGGAGAGCTCTTTGCCGATGCAGTTCTTCATGATGCTCCAGAGGTTAAGGCTGTAGTTGGGTTTGTCGGGGATGCGAGTCCTTCTCCTTTTCTTCGGCAGGAGATCTTTGCAAGTGGACTCATTGTAGCTGCTTTGATTTGAGCTTTCAAAGACCTGTGGAAGCAAGAGAAGAAACACAGGACTAAGCTGGACTCACCCAGCACAACCCAAACGCTCCCCAGAGCAGCAACTGCAGTGTGCGCTCATGCTGGGGAGCATCGCACCAGTGATGCTCCCAGGGCGCGGGGGAAATAACGTTCTCCAGGGCACGGGGGAAATAACGTTGCAATTTCCCCCCAACGCTTTCCTGCTTCCCTCAGAAGGGCGTTTGGGGTGCTGCTGTAAGACTGATGAAATCTGTCCCCCTCACCATGGCTCAGAGAGCAACCAACTCTGCTCCATCCTGGAGGTGCGGGAAGGACCCAGACAGAGAGTCCCTCCCACACCCTCCTCCTCTCTCGCTCCTCTCCCCTGGTTTCATCCTGCCGGGACCGTCCCTCCCACTCTGCCCAGCCAACTCACACTGTCCTCCAGGGTCCAGTCCTCGGGGTGGCCCTCGCTGGCCCCACTCAGGTTACTGCCCGAACGCCTGTGGGGAAGAAAGTACCAACTGGAAAACAGGAGCAAGGGCAGAGAGGAGAGAAGAGCCAGCGTTGGTTAAGCACAGCCACCATCACCATCGCAGAGCACCTCCCTGCACCACCCCAGGGTGCTCCCAGGAAGGCCACAGGGTGATGGAGGCTGTTGGGAGGGGATGTTCAGCGCGGGGTGTACCAGCCCAGGGGCCAAGAGCCCCTGCGTTTGCCAGTGAGCCCAGTGGTGTGACCACAGTTTAGACCTCAGGACCTCCAGCCCAGGCAGATGGCCGGGGAGGTGTAACAGCAGGTCAAGGCAGACGAAGGCAAGGTACTCCCCGCTTCTGCCCCGTGCTCCAAGGGATCTCCCTCCAAGTCCCTGTCCAGGCTCCCCTCAAGCCCACTTCAGCTGCTGGGGAAGAGGACTCAGCTTTACCGCAGCACGGGCTCAACACCTGCCCTTCCTCACCTGCTTTGCTATAGCTGGCGCCATCCTCAGCCTCGCTCACTCCAGGAACACAAGAGCAGCCGGGCGCAGTACCGAGCCCTGGGCGAGGCAGCCCGTTTGCTGGGGGACATGCACACAGAATAACCCTCTGCAGGAGAAGTGCTGCCCTCGAGCCCAAGCATGACGCTGGGCAAACCATCTCTGCCCTGCTTTTCCCGCACTCGCAGCAGGTTTCTCCAGATTGCACCGTGCAATGCATGGTCCTGGGGCAGGGGCTCGTACCTGTGGTGCTTGGGGTCCGCAGTTACAGTGATAAAAGCTGGTGCATCCTCCATGGCATCGAAATACTCTGTCTCTTCATCTTCATCACTGGCCTCTCCTTTGGCAGACTGCACACTCCCTGTTGCCACAAAGGGTTTGAGATGCTCGGGTGCTGCCGATCCCCTTTCGAATCCACCAAGCACGAGCCTGTCCCCAGAGCCCACCCTTCTCCCGCTCTGTCCCCTCCAGCGCTGGCTCCCTTTACAGCTTGGCCCACTCCTCTCCATCCCACATCACGACAAGAGGATGCCGCACCGGTTTCCAGCTCCTAAGAGCAAGGACGTGCCCTGGCAGTGTGTGTCCTGCTTCCCAATCCGGGCACGCAAGGCTTCCCTGCTGTGCTCAGGAGCACCTCCAAAAACACCACCAGGGGCTGCCTGAGCCAGATGCACAGGCACGACTCGCACACCCAACCGACACCTGACATGGCTGCCACTCCAGCACCGCCCCGTCTGCCAGGAAGTCTGGTTTGGATTAAAATGGGGGGGAAAAAAAAAAGTCACATGTTTCAGGTGATGCTCAGAGGGCCTTCCCAAGTGCCAGGTTTTCCAGTGCCGCGATTAGAAACGTGTCTCTTCCCTGCTGCGGTGGGAGAGATCGCTACAAAGCCAGAGGGAGGCATTAATTGCGGTGACTTTTGAGACCTGGTGCAGTTTCCCTGCTCCTGCCCTTGCTGCGCTGCTCCCCGAGCGCAGCCTCACCGCAGGCTTCACCGCTCCGCCACAAAACCACCGCTCGAGCAGCCACTCCGAGCTGCCGAGCAGCCACAACAGTGCAGGGCACATGGCAGAGCTGACCACCTCTCCCAGGGTCTCTGGGTGGTATCGCTGCTCTGGCAAGGGGGATGCCACAGGTGGCCAACACAGCATAGCTGAGGCCACATGGAGGGACCAGAACAGCTGCCCCAGCTCCAGCCGCCTGGCCGCAGCAGCCCGACAGGCTCAGCAGTTGGCTTGGCTTTCCGGCAGGGTTTGGCAACCTCCGTCCCTGCACTGTCCCCACACACCCTGCGATGGGGCCGGGCCGGATTTGTGCCGGTCCCTACTGTGATTTCCCCCCTGCCCTCCCCAGCTGCGCCACAGAATCACAGAATCACTGAGGTTGGGAAAGCCCTTTAAGCTCATCAAGCCCAGCCGTTCCCCTAACCCTGCCATCCCACCACTAAACCCTGGTCCTAAGCACCTCGGCTGCCCGGCTTTTAAATCCCTCCAGGGATGGGGACTCGACCCCTTCCCTGGGCAGCCCCTTCCAGTGCTTGACAGCCCTTGTGGGGAAGGAATTTTTCCTGATATCCAATCTAAAGCCCCCTAGCGCAACTTGAGGCTGTTTCCTTGAGGCGATACAAGAACGAGGGCAGCACCTGGCACTGCCATCACAACAGCTGCTATTCTCTCCCTCGAGTCTATATATCCTTTAAAAATAAGGCATTATTTGCAGTTTTTGGCTAACAGGCTGTAACTAACGCCTCCTGCAGGGAAGGAGATTTGGCACAAATATGCAAAGCTATTCTGATTTCATTGCCCAATAACTCTTGCAACCAGCAAATGAGCTCTGGCTGTGCCACCGCCACCCTGCACAGGGGACCCTGGGCTTCCTCTGAGCACCGTGGCTGCACTCCAGCAGCCAGAGGTGTGCTGGGTGAGGGTTAAAGCTATTGAAATATACTGAAACAGCACGAGCAAGCTGGGGACAGGGCCCTCTCCTGCATCCATATCTTAGGGACATCCAAGTCCCCAAGCGAGGAGGAGGACAATTAGGGACAATTATGGCATAATGGGATCCATTAAAAAAAAATCAGGGGCATAGAGGTCATTGCCTTGTGCATCCTTCCCATCGCCGCCGACTCGCTGGGAGCAATAGAGCAGAAAGCCCCCATCCATCCAGGGGTTCCCACAGGGCTCTGCCCCTGTAACAGCCCCCAGCCCTGGCCCCGCAGCCCGGCCCGCTGGCGCTCACCCTTGGCGGTGCTGGTGATGCCGGTGCTGCTGGAGGACAGGCCAGGGGCCCCGCGGCAGGCTCGCTCCAAGCTGTTGTGCTGCTTGGCTAACTGCTCGATGGTCTCCTCCAGCCGGATCCTCTGCTCCCGCTCATACTGCAGCGCCCGCTGCCATTTTCGGCTGTGAGTTTCGGCCAAGTCCAGGAAATCACGGCAAGCCTGGAGGGGAGGAAGGGACACATCAGCACCTGGCACAGCCCTGGCAGCCCAGGAGCTCATCATGGAGCCAGTGTTGGGACATGGCTCCCCACCACTCTCTCTCCTCCTGTATCAGGACCCCAGGGCTTTGCACAATGCCCCGTATCCCCAGGGCTAAAACCAGTTCAAGTCTGCCCATCCAAACCTGAATCATCTCTGAGGAGATGGCTGCAACGTGGATGACTGCTCAGAGTCCTCGAAGCCTTCATGACGTCCCATTTCCCGCAGCAGCCTGGCTCACCGTGCCCCAGCCCCGCAGCCTGTTCCTGTCCCCAGTCCCATTGCCAGCCCCCAAGAGCCCAGGCCGGGCTCACACGAACCTCAGCCAAGCCCAGCCCTTCGGGGATGCCCTGAGATCTTGAGCAGCCACCTCCATCCCCAAACCTGCAGATGAGGAGGAGCTGGACAGGAGAGTGGTCCCCAGGGTGACAGCCACAGGAGAGGATGCTCAAGCTGGGAGCCGGCATGCCCTTTGCTCCCAGGAGGCAGAGAGGGAAGATGCCCTCCTCGTCCCCAGAGCTGCACAGCCCAGCAGGGAGCAAAGGGCCTGGCCTGGCCCCCGTAACATCTTCACCATGGCCAAAAGCCCTCTCCTCTCCCCATGGGCCCTCGGGACCCACACAGACACGCTGGGCGCAAGGGAAGGAGGGCTCAGGGGATGCACTAAGCTGTGCCTTGCAGGATGCACAGCATCCCTGTCCCATGCCAGCAGGTATGGGAAAGTGGGGACACCATGACCTAGGCTGATAGGAGAACCCCTTGGAGGCATTGACCTCGGCATCACTGCGATTGCGGGCATCGCCCAGCCCCAGTGGGACCTTTCCAGGCGCGGGACGTCCGCTCAGGGCCAGGGCACTGCCAGCTCCCGCAAGCTGCCCTTCTGCTCTCTGACAGGAGTGAGCCAGCCCTCAGAGCTCTGGGTGTAGGTTATTTTTCATATTAGACTGAAACACTGAGTGCCCTTGGCTTTGCCGCTTCCCTTGGAATCAACCCTATGCGAGGCTGAGCACAGAGGCACCTCCTCCTCCCACCCCTAAAAACCTGCAAGTTGGGACACGCTAAACTACTTCTTACATTTAAAAGTAGGAAAATACCATTTTTATGGCAATTCTGTAAGAGTCTGGAGGAAGACCGGCACTTTGCAGGTCTGTGCTTCGGTTAGCTCCAACTCATCGCTGCACCAAGGGTATGGTCGTCTTTAGATAAATACTGGTCTGGGAAACTCAAAACTAGTCAAAAGGATTAAAACCAGAGAGTTCTGCACATCTGTCAGGCCTCCAACCACCCCCAGGACGCTGTTATTTTCCGTTTCCATCTACCTGGATTTCGCATGTGATTGATTCAGCTCTTGGCAGGTTACTCTGAATTTGGGCTGCAGGTGGCACCTCAATCTTGAGGTGTCTCCTGGTCAAGCAACAGACTCGGGGCTTCAACTTCCATGACCGGGCCTGATTTTACCAGGATTTATCAAAGAAAACCTCCGCTTCATCAGTTCTTCATCAAATCTCTGCTTTGGATAGGAGCAGGATTTGAGTCTTGTCCAGGGAAAGAAGTTTTTTCCTTTAATAACATCAGAAGCGAATCGCGAGGGAAGCGACACAAAACATCAGGTTTCCGTATTTTTGGTGAAGAAGCACAAAGATAAAGGAACAAATATTCCAGGATAATAAAGCGAAATGCAGGAGGGGTGTGTGTGCGTCCAGGGGCACCCTGACCACCCCCACGCCCCCCAGGAGCTCACGGCCATCCCCAGCCTCACCCCAAGGAGCCCCCGGTCGCGGGAAGAGGCAGGAACCAAACTCAGAGCAGATAAATGAAGGACAAACACGCGTTTGTGCCCGTCCTTTGGAAAAAAAACCAATCAGTGTAGCCCATCATATTTAAAAAGATGGTTTGCTTTCTATTCACCTCTGGTTTCTTTTGCTTTCCAATATCACAGAATCACAGAATTGTTTGGGTTGGAAAAGCCCTTTAAGCTCACCAAGCCCAACCGTTCCCCTAACCCTGCCATCCCACCACTAAAGGCTCCCCTCTCCTCTCAGGCAGCTGTAGGAAGCAATAAGGTCTCCCCTCAGCCTCCTCTTCTCCATGCTGAACACCCCCAGCTCCCCCAGCCGCTCCCCAGCAGCCTTGGGCTCCAGACCCCTCCCCAGCTTTCTTGCCCTTCTCTGGACATGTTCCAGCAACACAACGTCTTTCCTGTAGCGAGGGGCCATAGAGAATCATAGAATCCCAGGTTGGAAGGGACCTCAAGGATCACCCAGCCCAACCTTTCTGGGCAAGAGCACAGTCCAGACAAGATGGCCCACCACCCTCTCCAGATGAGGCTTCAAAGTGCCCAATGTGGCAGAATCAACCCCTCCCCTGGGGAGATTATTCCAATGGGTGACTGTTCTCATGGCAAAAAAATTCCCTCTCGTGTCCAGTCAGAATATCCCCAGGAGCAACTCGTGTCCATTCCCCCTTGTCCTCTCCATAGGACTCCTTGTGGAAGGGGAGTCTCCATCTTCCTTGTACCCACCCCTTAGGTACTGGGACGTGGTGATGAGCCTCCTTTGCTCATGGTTGAACAAACCCAGTTCTTCCAGCCTGTCCTCATATGGCTGAGAGAGGCTTCTAGGCCTTGGATTACCTTGGTGGCCCTGCTTTGGACCCCCTCCAGCCTGTCCACATCTTTTTTTGTACAGCGGGGACCAGAACTGGACACAGGATTCCAGGTGTGGCCTGACCAGCGCTGAGCAGAGTGGGATGATGACTCCTTTATCTCTGCTGGCAATGCCCTCGTTGATGCCCCCCAGCACCCTGTTGGCCTTCTTGGCCGCAGTAGCCCACTCCTATGGAGCATGTTGGCCACCAGGACCTCCAGGTCCCTTCCCACAGAGCTGCTCTCCAGCCAGGTGGATCCCAGTCTGTGCTGCGCTCCTGGATTGTGTTTTCCCAGGTGTAAGACCTTACGTTTGTCTGTGTTGAACTTCATAAGGTTCCTGTTAGCCCACTCTTCCAGCCTATCCAGGTCTTCCTGCAGGGGGGCTCTCCCTTCCGGAGCGTCTACTTCCCCACTTAATTTGGTGTCATCTGCAAACTTCATCAGGCTACACTTGACCCTGTTATCCAGATCGCTTATGAAGATGTTGAATAACGTTGGGCTCAACACCAATCCCTGGGGGGATCTGCAGCACGGAAGGACCTGACCCGATGTTTGTGTTCCCTCCATCCCCCATTGCTCCCACTGCACAGAGCTCAGCCCACAGGCAGGTTTCTGCAGGATCAGTCCCAGCATCAAACTGGTTGGGGTAAATTTAAACCCACAGACCATGCTCTTGCAAACCTGCTATTTTTTTCCAGAGCGGAGAGGTATATGCATGTGTCCCAACGGCGATCTCCAACATCCATCAGTCTTCAGCATCGTTAAGGCTCTCTAATGAAACACAGTCACATGTGGTTTTGCTAGGCAGAGATAATTCAGCTGAAAAGCCTTTGCAAGCTCTGAACAGGGGCTCGTCCTACGGCGTCAGCTTCTCAGCCTCAGGATTTCCATCTGCGGCCATCGGCGACTCCAAGAAGCAACCCAGCGGTGCCGTCTTGCGATGGAGATGCCTATCTGCCCAAGATCACGAAATATTCCCCTGTGAGCACCACACTGCAGTGGCATTAAGGCTGTATCGTTAGCGAGGGGAGCGGGTGGAAATGCACCCAGGAGAGGAGAAGGGCAGAGCCCTTCACACATCCTCAGTGCCACCACCAGCAATGCGGCTCCTGCAAGCTTGGAGCAAGGCAGCAGGGCCCCCCGCTTTGCCGTTTCCCTGATGGCAGGCAGGGAGGTGTCAGGGTCCTGTCCCCCCAAATTCCTAGCTGTGCACCCATCCTACACCCCCCCCAGCCCGATGGGGACCACCCAGCTCCTCCTCACGTGAGCCACAGACCCCGCGGGGCTGCGTGGATGGGCCCAGGGAGTGGTGAGAACCAGACTGCAGATTCTCAGGGTGCTTGGCACTGCATTTTCACCTTGTTCTCCAGAAGCAACTCAGCTCCGCTCCCCACCCCAAAAAGCCCCGCTGGCAGCCAGCCACAGCCACAAAGCCCGCGGGCAGCCCCTGCCCTGGTGCCTTCAGACCCAGCTTTGAGCTGAAGCCTCCTGCCAGTTAAAACCAACCCATGGCCCGAGCTGGCACTCTAGCTTATTTTATTATGCTGATGCATTGCGATAAGAGGATGAAACCACAAGGGCAAGTAATGAGATAGCGGCTGTGACCTTCCCAGCCCGGCAGAGCTCATTATCTGCTCCAAGCGTCCCTCTCTGCGGGCAGCCTGCACGTAGTGGGCACAGAAATACCCATTTTGGCACAGCTTACTGGCACCAAGGATGGAAACTGCCGGCTGTCCCTGGCTCAGGGGGCTGACCGTTTTAAAACGATGCACTAGGAGATCACCTGTAATTATCCTGCTGCAATTAAATGCAGTTTGTAAGGTATTATGGTAAATTAAGGGAAAAGGAGGTAATTACAGAGGAGCCACGTGAGGGCAGCCCTCCGGTGCGTCACCTGGGAGCTGCGGGATGCGGAGGAGAAATCACTCCATCAGTCGATGGAAATCAACGTCCTAAATGAAAATCACAGCAGATAAAACCTTGGGTCCTCCCAACCCAAGGCTGCTGAGCTTCACGGAGGATCCACGCTGTATCCTGAAGGGATAAAAAAAACCCCCACGTGACAGAGAAGTGGTCATCAGAATTGCCGACTTTCTCCACCAAACATGGGGGGGGGTTTGGGGAGGCGACCGGGTTGGTCCCTGCGCTGCCCCAGACCCTGCCGGAGGCAGCGGTATCCCCATGTGGCAGCTCGGGACGATGCTTGTTCCTGCCAGCATCCCCCAACTTGCATCTGTGTGGGTTTAGGGGCCAGCTGGGGTGCGTGCAGGGTTTATTCCCTGTTTTTGAAAGGGCCTTTCTGCAGCTTCTTCCC